ACTGAAACTGCACTGCTTAGTTCTACAAATGAATGGTTGTTCAATATGGACAGAGGTTTACTTAGCGGAGTTTTATTTCTAGACCTTAAAAAAGCTTTTGATACTGTCGACCATCATATTCTTTTATCAAAGCTTGAATTATATGGTATTAAAGGAACTAGCCTGAAATGGTTCGAATCATACGTTTCTGGTCGAAGCCAAATATGCTCTGTAAATAGCAAGATGTCAGCTGTTAGACAAATAAAATGCGGGATACCTCAGGGCTCTAACCTTGGGCCTATTTTATTCCTATTGTACATAAATGATCTTCCTAACTGTTTAGAGACAACTAAAGCAAATCTTTTTGCTGATGACACAAGCCTTTTTTGTGAAGGGTTTAGTCCATATGAAATTGAGATCAAACTTAATAAAGACATTGAAAATGTTCATAGGTGGTTGACAGCTAACAAGCTCTCATTAAATATGAAAAAGAGTGAATTTATGATAATAGGATCAAGACGTCGCTTAGCTTCAATTGAAAATAGCCCAGTACTAACATTAGGGGGAAACAACATTAAGCGAGGTTACCAAAAAAAGTCACTAGGCATGATCCTTGACGACCAGCTAAAATGGAATAAACATAATGAAATGCAATGTAAAACAATTTCAAATAATATCGCCCTGCTGAAAAGAGCAAAATTGTTTGTCAACAGAGATAGTCTGATAAAAATCTACAATGCCTTAGTGTGGCCTCATTTCAATTATTGTTCAACAATCTGGAATGATGGATGTTGTTCGATAATTGATAAATTGTTTATACTGCAGAATAGAGCAGCGCGTGTGATAACAGGGGACACATACGAGGTTCGTTCCATGCAAACGCTAGATAGTCTTAATTGGCTTCCAATAGAAGAACTTCTAAAACAACGACAGTTAATAATGACATTTAAAGTACTAACTGGTCGATTACCTCGATACCTTGAAAAATTGTTTTCAGTAAGTCAAAATGACAATTATACAATCTAAGAAGCAATCAAATTAAATTGAACCTACCCAAACCTAAGACAAATTTTCTCAAACGAAGTTTCTCGTATAGAGCTGCTAAGTCCTGGAACGAACTTCCAAGTGAAACTATTGAAAATTATAACAATCTTTCAATTTTGTCGTTTAAACGGCAATTACTTAATTCATCCGTATAAATTCATTGTAAATAGTTATATTCTTTTTGTCCTTTTTATATTATTGTTGTAAACACACGGCCCTTTGAAAACCAGCGCTGTAAATATTATCTGCTGAACAGGCTACCGTGTTTAAATAATTTTATTAAAGATTAAAGATTAAAGACTTGCGGTGGCCCATAAATATTGTGTTACAATGTCTATACTGTCATTCTTGCGATGTGCGAGTACAAGTATTCGTTGCGCGCTCTAACTTTTAAGAAAAATATGCCCGTATCACAGAATACTTCCCCGACAAACTTCGGGTATCTAGACCGAAGATGCGAGTTCAAATCCCGTTCGAGATTTTGGAAATGGTTTCAAATAACAAGTTTATTTATGTTTCGATATCATAATTTGAAGAATTTACCAGAAACATTCGTAAATTATTTCATACCCAATAATAAAATACATGACCATGGCACAAGGAATGCAACTAAGCTTCACAAGACTTATAAAAGAACGAATTATGTAATCCATACTCTTTCTAACAAAGGAGTTGATGTTTGGAATAACATAGCATCTAAATACAAATCTATTTTCTCTTATAGTACTTTTAAAATTAAAATTAAAAATCATTATATATTCAACTAGAGGGCACTCAGAGACTGCATACCTCCGCCCGTTACTCGGAATTTCCTAAGAAATCCACTTTACAATTCTTAAGCATAAAAGATTTCAGGCCCCCGCGAATTGAAATCGAATTGCTAATAGAACATATTACTGTTGTTGTGTTGTGCTGTACAGTACTTGTAAAATAAAAACTTATTAATTTAAGTGTCATTAAATAAATGCATAAATTTTGCTTTATGCACTCGCGCGTGCAGTAATTTTCACAGTTGTGCTATTTTAAATTCCCAGGCAGCTAAAATCTTTTGTCTTTAAAACAATGTCGATTTCTTGGGAAATTCCGAGGTTGCGTTCTTTTTATACAACCTGTATTGAAGTAATCTAATGTTGTTAGAATTTGAATGGACTGGCACTTTGCTGAACGTAATAATGCGTAACTCCGTAAGCCTTGTTTTAGACATTGAATTTCGGTCGCGTGAAATGCAACTAAGACAATAGATAATGAAGGCCGAAGCTTAATGAGGTTTATCATCTCATTATTGTCTTAGCACTGAGTGGATAAATTATACACGTCCAAATTACGCATTCAGTAATATTTTTTGTTAATTGACCGGGAAAAGCAAGACAAAATTTTGTTCATTTCTCGTTCAATTTTTAACCAAATTCAACCAAATTTTAATCAGTTCTTCCTTAGCCGATGGGAAATGCATTCAAAAAATTTCTTGAGTTATCGTGCTCACAGACAAACACACACACATACACACACACACACATACACACACACACATACACACACACATACACACACACACACACACATACAAACCCAGATGATTACATAACCTCCTGGCGGAGGTAAAAACCCAGATGATTACATAACCTCCTGGCGGAGGTAAACACATACAAACCCAGATGATTACATAACCTCCTGGCGGAGGTAACCAGATGATTACATAACCTCCTGGCGGAGGTAACAAACCCAGATGATTACATAACCTCCTGGCGGAGGTAACAATGGATGTATAATGGTTTAAAATATATTATCACTTTCTTTACTGTAAATATACATATATAGTATCCTCCACTTCGAATATATATAATTAAGTTTATATGCATGTTAATGTTTTATTTTATACTTGTTATATACGCTTTTATCTTTGTTCAATCTAATATATTATTCGAACTGACTAAATAGAATGAAACAATGTAAGTATAGTCTATAGGGGTCTTAATTAAAAAGCCTAGTAGGTTTCTAGAAGGCTCCTAGCCTATCCAAAACAATAGAAAAATAAATGTAAATAACTTGATATTTTTTACGGGCGTAAATAAAAAAAAAAAATAAATAAATAAATAAATAAGCGTCTCCAGTCATTCAACGCAACATAATTTAGTCATGCGCACAAACAAGTTAGGGTCTTGATTGCGTCCCATAATCCTTGTATTCGCCTACACTTGCGTACATAAATACAAATATAGGAAATGTTTGTAATGTGGTGTGGCTAGTGATAGTAAAAGGTGGCATCAACACGCGTGCTAGCGCGCGTTATGAGTTTGGACTCCTCCCATGCAGCTAGAAAGCCGTCCATCGACTATTAGTGGAGTCCTTGAGGTTTGGGAGGGTGGCATCATAACTGCGATGAATGTGGGATGGGTGTCACCTATGGGCGCAACATTTTTAAGCCAAAAAGATCTTTTCATTGGTCTTTTCAAAGTAGTCCGTTTAATTCTGAGCCAAAAGGATCCTCTCAAAGGGTGTAGTATCGCCTGATAGTAAGCTTAGATAATAACAAAGATCAAGACTGTGATGCATCGTATCCCCGCTGGTTTATTAACTGAAACCGCAAATTGCTCCTTCACTCCTCGCTATTTAGTTTGCCCGAACAAGCAAACTGAACATTAATATTTCTCCCCAAAATTGTTGGCGAGCGGGAAGGGGGGCAGGTCAACAATTTTTTTTTTCCGGACAGACCAAAAAAAATTTTCCGGACATACAATATACTTTTCTACAAAGATACGAAAATTTGGCCGGACATATCAGAAAATTTCCCCTAACATCAAGTAACTTTCGTAAAGATAGAAAAAATTTTTCAGGACATATCAAAATTTTCCCGAAATTGTTATGTTTCGCCCGAATTTCGCATTGATTTTTGCCCGATCGCAAAAATTTTTTTTGGGGGGGGGACGTGCCCCCGCCCTCCCCGGCCCATACGCCTGTAAGCCATTCCAACTGTTGTAGTACATGAACCTACTGTACAAACGGTGCAAGCTACTCAGGACAGTAAACCTAGACACAAGTAGTAATCCACCAGACTATATCATTCAATTTTACATTTTGTCATAGTAATACAGTTAAACGGTAGAAGTACCGTTTTGATCCAAAATAGGCCATTTGCATGAATCGGTCACGCGACCCCATTTTCCTTAACGATCTGCTGTGTCAAAATGAACCACAAAAATGGAAAAACTAAGCATCTCAATATTAGTAAAATTGCGAAGTTTTACATTCTAATATGCAATTTTATTTACGGCAGAAATGGCATTCAATTTAAGATATGCATGATTGAAATTTTTTTCGAAATTTGCATGGGCATTGTCTATGATGGTCTGAAAACTAAACAGAAATCATTGTGTCATGTTTTTTCTGAGTTTATGTTTATATTTTCGTATAATGAAGTAATCGTCGAGTAGGAATATCCGAGGTGAAAATGTGCAACCACGATGA